AAGTTCTCAGGCCAAGTGGCTAGGAATGGCACTGTGGCACAGCTTGATGGAAAGAGCACTGGACTAGGAATCAAGAGACGATGGTCAAGGCAGTGAGCCTCGGCCTCTTTATCTTCATTTGTGAAAACTGAACTGGGAAGGGGTGCTTGCTAAGACCGCCTCCGGGTCAGCATTCCTTCCTTGCAATGCGTTCACAAAATCATTTACTCAATTCCTCCAGGGAGACCAACTGGTTTCCACTCAGGGCCACACACACTCTGCTCCTTCTGCCCTTAAGGCCGCCTGCGGATCTTCACCGTGACCGACCCTTCTCATCACTGGTTTGCCTCAAATGTAGCTCCAGAGTAATCTTCCCAGCCCGCGAAAGAGCAGCAGCGCCCCACCCCCAAAGTTTCTATTCCATTCACCTTATTTCTGCCATTGCATTGATCATATCCATCCTCATTTATTGCCTGTTTTTCACTGATTTCTGCTCCTCTCCCTGCAAAACACACACAGAGTGATGGAAGCACCACAGGACCAAGGCTCACTCTTTTTTTTTAAATGTTTATTTATTTATTTGGGGGGTGGGGAGGAGCAGAGAGAGAGAGAATCCTAAGCAGGCTCCACACTGCCAGTGCACAGCTCATCACAGAGCTCATTCCCACCAACCCGTGAGTTCATGACCTGAGCTGAAATCAAGGGTCCCACACCTAACCGACTGAGCCACCCAGGCCAACCAGAGACCAGGGCTCTTATGCCTAGAACGGTGCCTGGGGTTTCTTACATGTTTACTGAATAAATATATGCATGTTTTTGGGGGGGAGCAGAGCAATAACCTGAGATAAATATCTATTGTGGCTCTTACCTAAAGGATAAGGGTTTCTCATTTCAGCGTACAAGCAGGCTTTCTCTGAGTTGCTGCTATTATGATGCGGGGCCAGTTTACATAAATCATTCGTTCCCCTCTCAGGTCCTTCACCCTGAGGAAACTGCGGTCACGGGAACACTGAGGTGGCTGGTCACCCTACCAGGGACTCAGAATTAGGAAGCCCTGAAGCTGAGAGCATCGCGCTTGCCTCTTAAGGTTGCCACGTTAGCCCTTTGTCCCTGTCATTTTGTCCTGATTCTGCAGACTCGCACACCTTCCCTGTAGGTCCAACAGCCAGCACAGTGAAAACATCCTCTTGACTCAGGCTTGGATACATATGAACCTCAGAAGGAAAAGTGAAGAAAATGTCTGGATTGTCATGTAAAAAAGGAGTCCATTCAATGTTTCCAGAAGAGGTACTGGATCCCTAAAACAGATACGGCTAATATGTTATTTGTAATGAAAGCAACCTGAGTGACCAACAGTAGAGACAAGTTTAGTGGAATGTTATGCAGTTATTAAAAAGCAAGGAAATATTTAAAACAGCCACATGGCAATTACATAGAAGATGGTAAGTTTTTTAAAATATCATTTATGGGGTGCCTGGGTGGCTCTGTCATTTGAGCGTCTGACTCTTGACTTCGGCTCAAGTCATGATTGTCAGGGTCATGAGATGGAGCCCCGAGAGTAGCTCGGTGCTGGGCATGAAGCCTACTTAAGACTCTTTCTCTCCCTTTCCTTCAGCTCTTCCCCCACTTGATCTCTCCTCTCTCTCAAAATAAAATAAAATAAAAACGTCATTCATGCTATGGTTACAGTCATGAAAAGCCTATAGGCGTATATGCTAGAATTTAAAAGGTATACCAAAACAATGGATATCATTCTGTGGAGGTAATGGAATTGCTAGGGAATTTTGTTTTGATGTTTGTTGACATTGTTATGTGTGGCTTCTGGAATGAGTAATGATTGTGTAGCTTTAAATTACAGTTAATCTTAAATAGAAGGAATGGGGTTGGGGGGGGCACCTGGGTGGCTCAGTGAGTTAAACTGCTGACTTTGGCTAAGTCATGATCTCATGGTTTGTGAGTTCGAGCCCCGCGTCGAGCTCTGTGCTCACAGCTCAGAGCCTGGATCCTGCTTTGGATTCTTTGTCTCCCTCTCTCTCTGCCCCTCCCCTGCTCGCACTCTGTCTCTCTGTCTCTCTCTAAAAAATAAATACACATTTAAGAACATTTTTTTAAATAGAAGGAGTGGACCTAACACCAGCACTCCTCAGGGATTAGGTCTTCCAAGCAGTACCGACTTCTGCTCCAATTCCCAGCCAAGCTGTAGGCCCTGTGCTTGGGATCCAGCACCCTCAGCTCAGCCAGGTTCGGGAGGTTTTGGCTTCCCAACTAATCTCATCTGTTCTCCATCCTCATCTTTTACGCTGCTGGTCCCCCTGCAGTTTTGACTCTCATCTCGGCGTCCCCATGAAAATGTTCTCAAGGCCACTGAAGTTTGAAGGAAGAAAGGAGAACAGAACTTTCATATTCACCTTTGAAACGTAGACTAAGCCCATCACAAGACAGCTTCTGGTTAATATGACTATTGCCTGGCCAGGCAAAGCATGTGACCGATGGTATTTATTGTGCTTCCAAAGTCTCAAGGAAATAGCAGGTTTTTTCTTCAGTTCTTTCGATAGCCCACATTCATATTCATGCAGTATTAGAACTGAAGTTATTATTCAGGTACATTTCACTGCTATTTTCTAGTATCACTATTCAGTTCCTCAAAAAGAAATCCAACAGTGGTGTGCACTTTCAGAGTCCTACCCTCACATACCATTTCTTTCCAAAGAAAGGAGATGCTCCTTGGTATGGAGGCTTCCTGAAGCCCTCACTGCTTCTTTGGGCTCTTCTCCTTCCGTACCCCATATACTCTGTGTCTACTTTGCTCACGATCTCTGCCTGAAGTGCCCTTAATGCCACATTACACCGCACTTGCCTTATTCCACTGCCCACTCTCCCCTGGCTAAATCCTTCAGCTTAATCGCCCCTTCCCAACTCCCTCTAGAAAGCCTTTACACCTCCTCTCTGTCTCAAGTACGAAGTGCTCCTTCTCTGAGTTCGCAGGGTGTTATCGTTATTCTTTTATCAGTCTATCTTCAGTAGAAGATTGTGTCCTTAAGGACCGTATCTTCTTCCTTTCTTTCTCTGTATCCCCTTAACACAGTGTGTGGCCAGTAGGAAGTACTCAATAGCCTTATATAAATGTTGAATTTCAAGTGATGGCTCTATTACTTACATTTTAGTGATTAAAAAATCTATAGAGGGCGTGTGCTAATGGCAATCAGTTCATTGGGAGTAAAGGTTAAGAAAGAGCTTTATTTTACTTCTTTAGTTTTCCAACATTTCATATGAAAATTTTCAAACACACAGAAAAGTTGAACAGCTTCCTTTCTTAAGATCACACTTCTATCTCAGATGGAGCCAAGTGGTCTCAAAACTCCACAATCACTGAGAGGGACCAGTATATTCTAAACCTCTAACTGCCTGAGGCAAAGGATGGGACCATAGCACGATCAGTTTTACATTTTGGTCACTTTATTAGTACCATCATACCTGCAGCTACTCAATCTCTCCTGCTAGATAGAACTTGACTGCTGAAAAAGCCTTTCTCTTCTACTTCCTTATTCTGAGCCTCACAACAAATCTATAGAGTAGGAAGTCTAAGCATTTAGGTATGGAGAAACCGAGGTTGGTGTGCCTGTCTAGTTAGTATAGGATGGACGTGGGTCTCCACACCAGTTGTTCTCATACATTGCCTCCATACAGTAAACTGCAAAGAATTTTCCATTCAATTTTGTCGTGACAACGTCACTGCATTGTGGGTTGTCATTTACAACTGTCACATTGTACATGATTTCCCAACAGTTGCCAGTGACACACGGATCTACCCTGAAGTGAAGCCAATGGACCTTGAGAAGAACAGTCCAATCATCACAGGTCAGTAAAAACGATGCAGTGCGAATAACTCATGTTTTCATGAGGCACAGTGAAGGACAGGCGGGTTAAATGAGAAGTCACTTTCCTCTTCCAGGCAGGAGAGAAGTTGTCATTGCACTGTGAAATAGATGCCTGCCTATTTTATTTATTCTTCTTTTGTAGCTAAATCTATCAGTTTCCATGGTGCCCCATGTTCACCATGGAAACTCTGACAAGCTTGTTATGCTTCAGAGAAGAAAAAAAAAAAAAGCACACCAAAAATCCGA